CGTTTTCGATAGGCTACCCGTATATGTAGTTATATAGCCTAAATCTGTCTATTTAGAGACACGATTCTGCGGTTTTCCTTTGTACACATTATTCTGGGACACCTTGTATAATACAATGTACATAATAATATGTAACAAATGAGAAAGTGAATATATTTGACAAAATTTTAAAAACTATTTGTTGGTACTGTGTGACACAAATTGTAGTTAGTCATATTTTCTATATAAATTGTAGTCGACAACTTTGTTCTATTTTTTGATATATTTTTCCCGTGAAGTATTTTGGTTAAACGCTGTATGGCAAATGATAAACCTTTACACAATTATGTCAACCAGTGGTAGACATACGAGCAGATGGCACTATTATTGAGAATTTCAGAATTTTATGTAATTTTCATTGAAACTGGTCAATAAATAAAAAAAATACAGGGACGGAAAGTCCTTTAACAGAGCACATTGTATATGAATGTAGCGTTTATCCAATTTAGAAATTAAAATATTTTTATCCCTAGAGATGAAATTGAAAAATTATTTATGATTTCAGTGGAATAAATGTCGAAAATGAAGTAAACAAAAAAGAATCAGCTGATTGAAAATAATGTATCTGTTTTTATGGAAGCGACTAAAAAAACAAAAACAATAATTTGTACCACAACAGGTAATTTTAAATTAAATTGAAGTATTACTAAAAAAAATTCTTCCTACTCAATTTTTCATTCGTTGACTTGCCCGATTAACCGATAACGCAACTCGTGAACAATAGAACAATAATAATGGTTCATTCTAAGAAAACTGGTAATTTCTTCGTGTTGCAAAATATATGGAAAAAATTTTACTTCTTTATACTTATAGGTCCTTAAGTGATTTGTTAACTTTTTTTTATAACGGAAGGGAGGACGTTTTAAAATCGACTAACGCGAAAGTGCGGGAAGGATAAATTAATAAGCGAGAGAGAATCCAATAAAAATTGTTAAAAACGGGGGAAGTGTTCAATCTAATATTTTTCAGGCAAAATCGAGGTGATGAAGATTAATGAGTAAAGTTTCATTCACCGTACGAGTATTAGAAAAAAAGTAAATCGATACGACTTTTCTGATACTTCATTAATGCTCCTATCAATAACGGCTATTACATAAACTTCTTGGTAGTTAGCCTATTTCTAATCTGATAAAAGAAATAGAGAAAGTTTAGCAAACATCAACTAAAGCGTCAAAACATAATTTATTTTTACGAGTCCAATTTTTTTAAGTATAATGTAACAAACAACCATCTAGAATCTAGATTCTAGATGTTTGTTATACCTACTCACATAGACTGTTCTGCTTAATGACTGGCCATCTTTGTAACTTTTTTATTTATTCACTGATTCCAACGATTTCATTGCAAATGTGTCTCGGAATTCAAAGCCAATGCCAACTGCGATCATTTTTATGAAAAAATCTTAGGGCATAGATATTACAAAACTGTACTGGCTGTATGTGATGGTCATTAGACTTATGATCACGCGATGCTAGACAGTTTGATGGTGTAAAGGTCTTCAAAGGACAGTGAAAGAAAAACTCTCTGGTTTACAGAAAACTAAATATTCTGACGATAACTGAAGCAATCAACTGCACACCATCTCCGGATTTGCCACCTCTATATATATTATTGGGGAGGCAAAGTCAAGCGCGTAATAGTTATTAAGGCAGCAGCGGCTGAAACTAGTGGTCAGGTCTTTAATTTCCCATGTATCTTGACCCCTGAACACGAATACGTAGTCAGACTTGATCCATAGGGTCACAAATCCTTCCTAACCTTAAAAAAGTTTAAAAATCCACAAAATTGATAAATTAGCTTCTATGATCCAGATATGATTTAACAGCGATTTAAAATTGTGGTCTCACCTATGTGTTCCAATATATTTTGACTCGCTAAATCCAAATCCGATATCAGAATTGCCTGAGCAAATCACCAGAATTTTCTAACCTGAAAAATAGCTTAAAATCGCTATAATTCTCGAATTTTAGAATGATGGGGCTACAAATAATGCAAAAATATATTATTCCCATGAATTTAATGCTACCCATAGGGACTTGAATGCGAATGCCTAGCGCGAAAATTTCTTGGCGCCCAATTATAACCGAACAGAAAGGCTTTAAATCTAATACAGGCATTCAGATATAAGCGCAGAAAGATTTATAGTTCTTTCAGTTATAAACTCAGAAAAGATTTTTTTTCAAAAGTGACATCAAAAATATTGTTCAAGATGTCGAAAAAATGACCCTGTTATTGTTAAAATTTGAGCTCTTAATATTAATATCAAGAGGTGCACAAATGCATCATTGCAATTTTCTATTTCCTATTTAAATAATATGGGATTTTTTTTTACTTTTTTTATAACTCATCAACAGATAGGTGTACTGATAAGACCAAAACACTTTTTTGTAGGGAATTGAACGTTCCATAAAAAAGGTTTCTTATCAGTTTATGATAAATCTACTCTTTCAAAAGTTATTTAAGGTCAAAGTTGAATTTACAGAAAATTTCAATATTTTTCCACTTTCTACTCTATACAAAACAGCAATTCTGTTTATATTTAATAACTTTAGTAAAGTGCCATGCATCTTAAACTAAATGTTTTATTTGTGTTAATATCATGGCAAGTTGCAACTAAATAAAATTTAAATGCGTACTGGCAAAAAGAATATTCATTAAAATCGCTCAATAAATACAAAAGTTACGGCATATTAAGCAGAATACACTACATGTATTTTCTATTTTTTGTAGTCTCTGTCATGACCCTGCTATTTGAAATATAGCGAAAAAGGACCAAGCGCTAGAAGGATATATTTTATAAAACTTTTAATTACAAATTATTTATTACGGCGTTCATTAAATACAGGTAGGTATACTTTAAACAATTATGTTTGCATGTTTTGTGAGATACGCCTATGTCGTAAATACCGACTTGGTAATGTTCCCCTTCTTGATGATAACCATGGCATAATATAATCTAAGGGGTGTTGAGTTCCTGTAATATATACTCTCTAATAAATTTCAGCAAACTATTGCACAAGAGAAACTGTATTTACAGTACCGCGCCCTTCTTCTAATGAAGCCATAAATGTACCTATTTTTCAATTATATAAGAAAATTTGATTTAATAAGCAATAAATCCACATAACTTTTAATACAATATGTCAAAATATTACCGTTAATCTTCCCTTTGGAGTCAATACAATATTATTATTTTGCATTGCATCAAATTTAGAAAAAGCCTTGAGCAGAGAGGAGTACTTGAGCGAAATTAAAATGAGGAAATTTGGAAGGAAAAGGATGACATTTTCACTTGAATTTTAACAGAATTAAATTCCTAACACGACACAGGTGTATTTATTTTAGTACTATTAAAAAATAATAATGAACTAGTAAGTGCACTAAGAATGTTTTTCCTCTTTATTATATCACAAGATTGAACGGTCTAAATAAGCATCCAATTATCATCAATAATCGCACTTTGCTTATTTTATTGCATCGGTGCTGTTGATCTGCAACCGATCTGTACATATGCCAAGATAATACATAAGATATGTACAGACTGACACAAATAAGTTTGCATCTGAGATAGTTCCATCCACACATGCGCAACGGATATGTAAGAGGTAGTCGCTATCAGAATTGTCATGTCTACGTCTTATCCCTTCTAGTTGAATGCAATTTTTCTCAATTTTCTCTCTTTTTTAACTCTCACAGCCCTATGTTCATTGCACACCTGTAGGCGTGACAAAACGAAAGTTAGATAGATATTTGACATCCTGTATGTTCCTATAGAAAGAGAAAATTTAAATAAGATCACACAGGATGTTACAAAGGACTTGAAACATAATTTCTGTTTATAATTAAGTAATTATACTGTTAATCTGCATTCTGGAATAATAGAAGATACAAGGTCTAAAAATAACCGTACTTTTCCTCCTCCGTAACCATACGTTCTTGGGTTGTTGATATCTCATTTAGTCTTTGTGATATTATTATTTGAGTGTGTTTAAGTGTTTGTGACGACTTTTGAAATGTACGATTTTCTGGAATAACCATCACAACGATGTAATGTAAAATTTTGCGTGAAACTGAGGAAAACTTTCACGGAAACGTTTCAACTTTTGAAACAAGCTTACGGAGATGATGATCCGGGTCGTACGCAATGCTACGAATGGTTTTCACGATTGAAGATACACACATTCTAAAACAAGAGGACATTTTTTATGTAGAATTGAATGTTCTTTTAGATTTTTAACTTTTTTAAGTATAGCTCAACAAATAAAAAAAAAACATGTTTTCATTTACCTAAATAATACGGTGAAACTAGCGCCCTCTTGGAGCAACGTCAAAATAAGCTTCAAATTCGTAATTCTCACACCAAAAAACCCAACACTACCAATTTTCAGAGTCATGCTATCGAAACTTTCTCAATTATGGAGAAATTTAAAAAAAACTATAAACCTTGAATGCCCTGTATTTCTTAAACCAGCGACATTCGTATAAGGCATGATGAGCTCAAACATAATATTTTGGTGTCTAGTATCTCCAGCTTAGTGTTAACCCATTCTTTCTGACTCACCCTGTATATGTTAAAAAATGGAGGGGAAGGTATAAAGCATGTAAAATCAACATAAAAATTAGATACGATAATAATTAGAAATTACAGAAAACAGTATTTATTAATAATAATTTATTATTAACATACATAATGTTATTTTTATACATTAAACTAATTAATTGGTTCTACATAAAATATATAAATGAATTAATAAATTACAGCAATCCTTCCATATAAAATATATCATTCAAAGAAGAAATATGACACAAAATTGATTAATTTATTCATCATTTAACATAAGTATATAATTTTCGAATACCAATAATTATTATTTTATTTTACATTTAAAGCCTAATTATAACAGTTATAATTATTAAGTCATATTAATTATTGTAACATCACATATATCAGAATATATCTACTTCTCTAGTATAATTCATAGATAATTTCATATAGTAAAAACTAAAAACTTATATAAAATTATTTCAGCTAACACACAACTTTAAACGTATTGTAAAAAGTATGATCACTTTGTTCGTGATACATCTCGCATCATAAATTTAGTTATATCGATGTGTTAAAACAAGCAAGCAAACGAATGTTAATAAGAAAGATCATAGAATATATTATTAGTTAGTCTTTGGTAATGCTTTCCTTCATATAAATTTTTGAATTGCTAAACTAGAAATTTATATGCAGGAAATAATATGCACATATTAATCATGCAACGTTTGTTATACACGTTTATTTACAAAATAAATGGAAATGTACATACAACAATTTAATCTCTTGTAGCTTGGATTTCTTTCTCCTTTAATTCCCAAAGTGTTGCTCAAACTTAGTTTGTCTAGAATATTTTGATTAGAAAGTGGGGCAAGATTTTGAAATCCAAAGCCATCGATATCATTTTCAGTAAGATTTTTTTGTTTGTAATCTGTTATAAACATATAGAAGTAGCATTTTGAAATATTTCATAAGTTTATTCTTTATTTTTATTAAACACTTGATTAAAAATCTTACGCAAAACGATATGCTAACATTTTATTTACAATTCGGCATGTTCTAAACTACTAGGTTGGTAGAAGATATCCGCGCTTATTCTACCATCCCTCTTAGGAAACACATGGTCGTAGTACTTTTCATTTTCGTACTGTAACGGTTTTGGCCTGGGTCGAGTGCGGTCTTTTTTGTTGAATTTTTTGTTAAGTGAACGCCTTGCATATTTGTTATCATTTGGCAGCGAGTGTCTATGCGGACCCATCGCCATTGTGGAAGCATACGACCAGTTGTCTTTCGTACTGGGGTTAGTATATCGACTAAAGCTATAGTATTTGTCTTGGTGGTAACCTTTTTCGGTGTCATTGTCTGATTCGTAGAAATCAGGTGAGAATATACGACTTTTTGGTCTATCTGGTTGCGTGTCGAGACCAGAGTAGACGTTTTCAGCTTTTGGTTTTGACTCTTCTAAACTACTTCTACCATTGTATGTAAGTGTTGTGGGTTGATGCTATATGTACAGCAGTATGTTAGAATTGTGTTAGTTGCTACCGCGCGTATTGGAAACGAATTTTCAATTTGAAGCGCTTATTACACATGTACAAAGTAACCAGTCAGTCGAATTTTACTCATTGCTTTATACATTCATTTCCAATAGCATGCGTGATCTACATAAAGTGTTATAATGGGTAAAATTACAATTCGTCCATTGGGGTGACAACCATAAGTAGAAGTAGTATGTAATAGTAATTTTAAATAATGACTAGTAGATAGGTAAAATGATAGTGTTATGCGATGTGATTGGTTGGCTGCTCGAATCCTTACTGTGACCTCGGCATCAGGATTAAAATCAAGTGAGGTGGTTTGAGAAAGTGCTCAGGACGGGAGTAGTCTGCAGAGTGTGGAAAACCAGTGTCAGTGTAAATACAGTGTATGTACAAGCTGGAATAACATTTATGGTCGATTTTTTATGAACTTTGATATCAAATCATTTATTTGACCTACGTTTTTTTTTTGGGATGTTTTTCTTTAGAGAAAAACTGGAAATGATTTTTATGTGAAAAGCCCAAAAACAAATATAGGGCAAATTTTTATCAATTAAATGAAATACTCCTAAAGATATTACAATTTCATAACTCTTTTGATCTACATAGTATTTTGAATAACTTTACCACTTTGAATCAACTTTATTTTATATCCAGCGATTTTTGCAAGAGAAACATAATGCCATCATTAAATTCGAACATTTTAAAATGAAATGATTTAATTGAAGTAACTTAACTAAAAAGAACTGATATTGCAAATGCTGAAGCTATACCACATAAAAAATCAATTGCGTATTGTGTTTCTGAGATATAAATCTAACTTGTGTTTTCTTAATTGAAACACCTTGTATATTGTAGTTTTTTAAATGCTTTGTTTTTTTGCTATCAAACAATACAAGCTATTACAAATTCGCTTCTCACTACAGGAATCTCGGAATCGGTAAGAGGTACGAAGTAGCTTAAATGGGAGCAAAGTTGCGTAATCAGAGGACAAACATTATGTCTCCAAAAAATCAAGGCTAACATGATTAGTATTCGAAATATTTGAAAAAAAGCAGATTCAGACGTTTTGTCTCGAACAATTCATCTTCAGTGTATTCGTTCCAAATTTATGTAAATTTATATATTTAGATTTCTTTGTTTATTGAATTATCGTACACTGTAAGTGTCGTTAGACCCTGTGAAATCCATCTAGTTATTTAAACTATTACCATCACGCGTTACAATAAAACATTTATTATTATTAACTATTACCTTCACTTGGCCATACATAACTCAATAAGTTGTTGCGCCAAAGTAAAAATATTATTACAATCTTAATTTTATTATCTTAAAAATGCATATAAACAACTAAAACGCCAACTGAAAATTATTCTTTAAAAAATTTCAGGAAATGTTCAAAAATATTTTCGTTTTGGTAAAGGTTGAAAATGAAGATCAGCGTAATATTATCGGAATTTATTATATCTGTAACAGATGGAAATAGTTTAAATAACTAGATGGATTTCACAGGGTCTAACGACACTTACAGTGTACGATAATTCGATAAACAAAGAAATCTAAATAAAAAAATTAGATAAATTTTTTTAACAAATACACTGAAGATGAATTTTTCGAGACAAAACGTCTGAATCTGGTTCGGGCTGAGGCAGTACAGCATTGGGGGTCATGACGGCTTGCAAAAAATGTAATAAAATTTCCAGGGCCGTATTTAAAAAAATTAAGTTGATGATGGTACTGGAGAGACGAAACGTTACATATAAAAATTGATTATGCCATTCCTTAGAGAGCAAAAAATGGCCATGAGAAAGTGTTCTTCTTTTTTCAATATCACCTCAAACAAGGCTGAAATGAAACAAAAACGGATTTCCAAAATTTCGTTTTTTTTTCAAATATTTCGAAAACTAATCATGTTAGCCTTGATTTTTTAGAGGCATAATGTTGGTCGCCTGATTACGCAACTTTGCCCCCATTTAAGCTAGTTTGTATCTCTTACCGTTTTCGAAATCCGTGTAACGAGAAGCGAATTTGTAATAGCCTGTATATAAATATATCATATATTTGCTTTGCATATTTTGATTTATTTACTGTCCATACATAAAGTCAAAGTTGACATGGAACCAATGCGAGTGTATGCTGTATATTTTATTAGAAAAGGTGTTCAATAATTTTGTTCTAGACAAAAGACAATGCCCTATGTTATCCACCTCAACGATAGTATTAACATATTCTTTCTTAAGTCATATAAGCTATCAGGTCGTTTCTAGTGTACTTTATCTTCCAGAGTCCCCCATTGCAAGATCTACATGGGGGTAAAATCAAAACTTCTTACGGACTATAGAATTTCCCGTTTCTTAGAAAGTAAAAAGAGTCCTTTATCATATCCTTATATTAATTATAAAATAATCTAGAGTTCTTTTTCACTCGAAAAATGTTGCTCATTAATACTATAAAACCATTTTAAGTTCCTTAGTTCTGCTCAGGTACAACTATTGTTACCTTATTGGAACTGTCACATTGCACGAGGTTCTGCTTTTTATATTTCGGGAATGGGCGATCCTGGTGATGCTATCTGGCAACCGACAACCCTATCACAAAGTTCGACTTTTTGTGGGTATACTTACTCAGAGCGTTTTGACGTACAAGCGCTATTTGTGTTGTTTACAGTGACCTGAAGAATTCATCTCGGTCAAAAAATGGAATTAAGTTGTGAGCATTTTCATGCGATTATTTTTTACAACTGTCGACATTATCTCAACCACAGTGCATTGATGAACTTACTTCGGCTTTTAGGGATGAAAAACCACAAGATATCGGTGGTATACGGAATCCAATCGTGGTCGTGGTTCGCTTACTGAAGAATTTGTTGGTAGGTCGTCCAAAATCGGTTGTTGTTCCAGAAAACATTGATACTGTGCGTGCACTGATATCCGCAAGATCGTCATGAGACTTATCGTGAGATTGAGGCATTCTTGGGCATGAGTGGGACCAGCATACATTCAATATTGTAGAAACATTTGGCCGTCAAAAAAAGATGCTCGGGTCGATTGGTCGACATAAATGCTAAAAAAAATACGATCGCGGTGCTTCAAAGCAAGTCTATGACATCATAACAGTACATATGTATCATGGATCTATGAGTCCGAAAGTAAGCAGCAGTCGACTGTATGGGTCTTTCAAGGTGAATTAAATCCATCGAAAGTTGTTTGTGCATGAAGCACTTTTAAACAAATAGTCGCTAGTTTTTTCTGAAATAACGGACATGTGGTAACTGTACCATTGGTGCAACGTCGGACGGTCAATTCTGAATGGTACACAACCATTTGTTTGCCAGAAGTCTTCGGAAAAATTGGGAAATCAACCACTAAAAATGCATCATTCTCCACCAAGACAATGCGAGCTGTCACACATCGACTCACAGAGAAACTTCAATGGGAATGGAAAAACAGCTTCGATAATTGGTTCAAGCGCATGCAAAAGTGTATTAATCTTCTTGGAGAACATTTTGAAAAACAATAAAGCTATATATATATTTTCTCTATTTCCGAAATGTAAAAGGCAATCCTTGTATTGTCACTGTTTTGGCTTTTACTTAACCTTAACCTTCTGCGCCATAGCGCAAATACATAATATATACGTTCTAAACAAAGGGTTTTTTTCACTCTTTTTTTCTCTTGCCCCATCTAGGGTATTATGAGAGATTCTGGAAAATAAAGTAAACAAGGAACGACCTAGTAATTTATATGACCTAAAGAGGAAACTGTTGAACGCAGTTAATATTATCAATTAAGAATAATTGTTAGTTATAAATTGTTTGTAAATCTAACAGCGGAAGAGCACACACGCATTGGTTCCATGGCTTTACCCATTGTGGAGGGTCAGTAAATAAATCAAAACATTGTGCAAACTGTCAATCAGGAAAAAACAGGGGATTTCAAAACACGACAAATATGTTCCATTTAAGAAAACAGAGGTTTAGTTTACGTCTCAGAAACTCAACATTCAATTGTATCTTTTTTATACTTCTTCAATATCGCAGGAAAAGTTACTAAGGCTTTGGCTTCTACAATTATTGTCTAAATGGAAAGGTAAAAACGATAAGGGTGTTGATTGTTAGGTGAATGATCCTGTTCGTTTTACCTATTAGAAATAAATTCATGTTCCAAAACTACCCCACATCAGGTGCAGCACTTAAAAATACTCGTCGAGCTACCTTGGCATAAAATATTTCAAATTTTTGGGTTACAAGGGGGATCTAATAATTATTTTATGCATTTTTATTGAATTTCATTCGTTGCCTCCACACCTTTTAGTATTTACATTAAATTTTCTTTTCCAAATATACTTTGTTGGTCCCATTCTATTTTTGCAATGAAATCAAGTTCCTGAACTTAACACAGCAGACCATAAATGTCATTCATATTCACCATACGACAGTTTCATTATTATTTAATATCCAGCACATTCACCATTTATAATTAAGGTACGAACAATTTAGATATGTAAAAACTGTCGTATAAAATGGATGATAAAATACTGTGGTGTACTGGTGCTAGATTTTTTTCAATCTACAAGTAAAACATTATTCTCGACGAATTCAATTTTCTTTTTAAACCTAATAAAGTATATAAATGATTCCGGGACATTTACCACATTTTCAAGACGGCTATAAAAGAGAAATAAAATAGGAATGACTGTGCTGAAAATTTAATTCCACGATAATGTTTTATTTATAGAAGGAACTGTATACCTTCCAAAGGAAAACCAAAGAAAACACGTCAAAGCTACAGTGTGTGTTTTACTGTGCATGTGCATTATATACATGGTGCATAGTGCCTTAGTGTTCACAAAATATTAAATCATTCTCTATTATTTACAAACATGTCTTCTACTCCTTCCAATAGTATTCTGGAGTTGGATCTAACACAATTATCGAAGGAAAATAGAGATTTCCTACCCTGTCTTTTACGCTACGATTATTGTCTATGACATTATAGTTATCAAATTTTCACAAGTATTTACATGATTCGTTTTAATAAGAAGAAATCTCTGTTTCCGATGGAATTTAAAATAAAGCGAAATCGATTCTGACACTAATTTGTAATAAAATGTGAAAATAGGCGGTCAAGGAAGTAGTAAATGTTACAAAATTTGGAATTGTACAATGCTAAAATTATCTAATGGTAGTTCTAGATGTTTCATGAAAATAATAAAACAAAACGAATTAGTTACAAGCAGTTGCTAAATGAAAGTGATCCAGACAATGTATGTTTAAACATAATTGTAAGAAATGATCGGTTCATTCTTTGTCTGCACCACATGAGATGCTAAAAACGAATTCAGAAAAAAAACTTTGAGTATTGGGTAAAAATGGAATGGTGTGCACACAGTGCCCAAGAGACAGACTTGGCAGTGACCAGCATGAAAACTGTTTTGAAATTTCCATTTCGTAAATATTTTCTTTAAATCTCATCCGTTCTTCTAAATGACTATGTTTATCAAAATTCATTTTGAAAACCTTCCTTTAATACCTACTTTAATAGATTAAATCTGTTTGAGATTGAAATATTCAATGAAGTTTCTAGCGATTACCATAGTTTACATATTTTCAAAACTTTATCGAACAAAAATATTTTCCTACTGAAGATCTTCATCCATTTTTTTTCCAACAGCATTTTATGGTGAAAGAGGCATAACATGTTATTAAAAAATGTCATTGTATATGATAGTATTTATTTTTGTACACTATCAATTATAGTACACAATTTTTTGAACATTAGCAATTCATTACTTTTTCTATTTGGTATAAAATGTAGATCACGACGTCCGCAATCTGTAATATATTCTTTTTGGGCTTAATATAAGCAGTATCAGTTTCTTAACATATCGGCAACTAGGTACAATAGAAAAATATGTGTCAATATTCAATAATGAAATCAGATGAATACATAACCTCAACATTTCCAAAATATTTTGCACCTCTATTATATAAAAAAGCACTACCTACCGAATGGTGAAATAAAAAGAATCAAAGTAAGTTGATTGGCTCTACATTTCCGATATGGAAATAATGTTTTTCTTTTACTAATGAAAACTTGTAATATCTTATATGAAAATTACAGTTTATTAACAATGAAAATATTTATTTTATACGCGACTACTATCGAAATAAATGAAATAGATCCCTGAGTTTAGAAACCTATATTAAGAAAACGTAGAGGCAAAAAAATTTGAAATTTGGACCATGTATACTCACTATTACTCTATTCTTTGTTAAAATTTCAGTTAGTTTCGTTATCCCATTTTTTAGTTATTAATAAAAATGTTGAAAAAATCACGATTTTCTGCCTACAAAATTGATACCTCTCACTTTAACTCGTCGTAATTTTTTTAACAATTTTTCTCAGATTGTTGTTTACAGTTATTTCCTACGTATGTCAGTTTTTCTTTAACGCAGTATTTACGGATATAGCACTCCCTTCTGTTTTGCTTAAAAATAAAAAAAATAAGAGCTTTTGAGACAAATGACCTTCAGAGTACTAAAGACAATAGTTCGACTTATCTTTAGTAAAAATTTGGAATTTTTTTTATCAATTAACAAAAAAATTACGACGAGTTAAAGTGAGAGGTATCAATTTTGTAGGCAGAAAACCGTGATTTTTTCAACATTTTCATTAATAACTAAAAAATGGGACAAAGAAACTAACTGAAATTTTAGCACATAATAGAGTAATAGTGAGGTTATATATGGTTCAAATTTCGGTTTTCAAACTCAAGGGTCTATTTCATTTATTTCGATAGTAATTATGAAACTCATTGTTTAAATAAAAACAATTTTGTTTCTAGTCGTTAAGGTTATGAATTCATCTTAATTTAATTCTTTTAGAAAAAGGATGCCATTACATTTCAAAACATCCATTTAAAACAAGTTTTTTTGGCGAATACTTAGCAGTTTTAGATAGTAATATTAGTACCGAAATATTTATTTATTTCGGAACAGCAAATTAAAAAAGCGACTGTAAAGAATTAAATATTTTAGACATTGTACATTTATTACGAATATACAGCTTACTTTTTATTGGCAAGCAGATGGTTAATCCCAGTAATTTTGTAAAATTAATTCCAGTGATATATTTTCAGTCACGCCAATTCGGGAATTAAATTTAGTTGCTTAAAGAGATTTTAAAGCTTAATGTCAAATAAAAAACTAATCACTTAGAACTAATTATTGAAATTAACCGAACTTTTAAGTTTCATAGATTAGCAAGTCGCAACAGTGATTGTCTGATTGTCTTTAAAGACGTATCGATCCACTACCTTTTAAAAATAAACATAAAAGCTAACCTGGAGGCCAGTTATATGTATTTTGTTGTTTTGAATTCGAGTCCGCAGTTAGTTTTACTCCAACACGCACAGAAATTAAGAAAATTTCTAAAAATTACTGAACATCTCGAAAAAAGCCGACCTAATGAGCATCAGCAATATTTTGAATAAAATTATTTAAACTGGTACAGAATTTGTCTTTCCAGACAATGCATGGCTTCCTAATAGCATGTGTAAATTTTTTTACCATGCTGAATCGGTAAAAAACAAAAAAGTACACTGCTGAAATCACAACAGCAGCTATAAGATTGATAACACAGTCATCAGAAGACTGATATTAATTCAATACGAAGATAAGAAGTAATTGATGGTGAAAGGTCAGAAGAGGGAATCGGAAGTACGGACAATGTTGAAGCGGAAAAGGAAAAGAATGAAACTGAATCAGAAGAAAGTGCGGACGAATACGCACCAGCAGGTGAAACAAAACGTTCAAATCCATTTAATCAGAAAGAGTTGAATGCTCTTATTAAAAAAAATACAGTTTCCAAGTTTGCTGTGATGAATAGTTTTAATAAAAATGGAAGTTATATCCAATTTCCAAAATCCACCTAGATAATTTTGGAATTTAAGTGATGCATGCAAAATTGTAAAAATGCATCTTCGACAGACCTCAAATCCTAAAGAGTTTCATGGCAATTTCATAACAACAATAACATATATTGAGAAAGCAACGTGGCTCAGCTTTAGCAACGTCGCTTAAAACTTTTTAGAGAACCACAATATCCAAGATTTAGATACTATTATAGCAGATAAGAAAATACCAACGCTTAGAAAGTTTAACGAATGGAAAGTTCATTTCTTGGATTCCCACTTGAACTACTGCAAATTTAGGTGATTATAGCAAGGAGCAGGATGAACCAAGACCTGAATGAGATTGAAAGAAGATATTAGGGCAATTGGGATAATGGTAGATTTTTGTTGATTCCTGAAAAGAGAAATTCATTCAAAATTGGTCTACAACCCACACGTACGTTTCAATCACTTCTGTTTTTTTTTCAAAGTACTTATGAAGATGCACAAAGTACATTGAGTTAAGGCTTGGACAGGTCCAATTTCTTCATTTAGTACAACTTTCGATATTAGTTTTCTAAACATTTTCAGTATTTCAGACCATTAAAATAAAGATTAAGGTTTTATCTTGGTCAAGAAATTTTTTTTTTCAAAACATTGCTGATGCTCATTAGTCCGCTTTTCCACGATTTCGAGATTTTCAGCAATTTTTAGAGATTTACTTTAATCATGCTGGAGTAAAACAGATTCCGATTTAGCCCGTTAAAGTAAGTAAGTCTTCAATTAAAACCTTGGTTGAGTTAAAGAAATAGAAAAAAGTATGCAATGAATAAATCAGCTATGAGTAAACTATAATGAAATATTAAGACAAATATTAAATTCAAATGATTTGGAAAATATCATGAGGAAGCCATATCTTACAGTTTGACCATCGGAAGAGATTAAAACAAAGATTATATGGGACAAAACTACCTACATAGAAAAAGATCCGTGAAGCTGATTTTATTTGAACAATTTCGTGGGAGGATGTCATAAAAATGAAAATTACATATCGGATAAAAGCAAAGAATTTTGGAAAGGAAACAGAACTAAAATAAGATAAGATAAGGCAAAGTAACGATTAAAGAAGAGAGTGGCAAAAGAAAGACATTCTGTAGATATAAAGGAAAATTGAATATTTGTTTAAAAGCTCAACTTAACATTTTAACTTAACTTAAAATTTAACATCTACGAGAACTGTTGCAATGACAGAAAATTTAGACGTTACATTCAATTTTATTGTATCGAAATTTAGATGAAATCCATTAATTCGAAAATTTAAGTTACTTGAAACTGACGCAATGCGGTTTATTAAACTTTTAGTTAAACACTTGCTTAACATTTCGGTTGTTCAAACTATATTGCCAAGAAATCATGTCATTAAAACTGATACTGCTTATCTATAGTTAGAAGTAAATATCCCATCAGGTTCATGACAGTCGGTATGAACTAAGAAATCGTGAAATATCAAAGATTTATAGAAACCTAGCCTATTCGATACACAATTTGGAACGAGTCTTGTCTATTTACGAAACCAGTTTCAAGACAGTTAACACTTGTACTCGATGACCGTGGCGGGCCGGCCGTGTCCTAAGACGGGCACCCCCCGCCGCGGTCCAAAGGTGCAGTGCTACACTCTAGTGGGGGGTTGCAGCACCATAGCGGCGAGACGTACCTTCATCGCCTCTGGGCTGCCTCCGTGGTGGCCTCCCCGTGGCGTCGTCGTGTAGATGGCGTCGGCCGGAATGCCGCCTGGACCTGTCGTTGTCTTTTCTATGTCCACTTTTTGGCTGAAACACGAAAATGCAATTAACTAAGTCATATCTTTGTCTTGGGGCAGGCATCACGGAATATAATGAATAAGACACAGATACATCGAACATAAAGCGTATTTCATAATTCACGCAAGAAGTAATTTTAATAGAAAACATATGATTTTAATTAAAAATTGTAATTTTTTTATTCATTTATAAAATATACAGTAAGTATGAATGGAATAATATATAGGGTAAAAGATCTCCACGACCTTGTTGGCACATGCACTTTTTTGTAGAAATTTTCCATGACCGTTTTGTATAAATGCGACTGAATTTCACTGATACAGTGTTCAGTTACTTACTTCAATGAGTGGCTCGTCGTGGCATAAACCTTAGACTTCAAAAAACCCCAAACAAAAAAGTTCAACAGCGTTAAATTCCATGATCTGGGTAGCCAATTCTGATCACCAAAACGAGAAATTACACGACCAAGAAATGACTCATGTAATAACTGAATTGTTTCTCGTGCTGTATAGCATATGGCACCTTCTTGTCGTCTACATCTATATCTTGCAATTTAGGCACAAAAAATTGTATATTATCATGACGCTATAGCGAGCACCATTAGCTGTTATTGCTTGGCCAGCGGCATTTTCGAAGAAGAATGGCCAGATGATGCCTCCAGTCCAAAATGTGCACCAAACAGTGACACGTTGTGGATGCATTTGGTTCTCAACAATCACTCGTGAAATTTATGAACCCTAACTAAATGCTACAATTTTGTCCACTAACGAATCCATCAAGATGAAGATGCTTTTGTTCGAAAAATCAGCATGCAATTGTCCTAGGATTCATTCATCGAACTCTCTTCGTTCTGCGTGATCACTAGGCTTCAGTCCTTGAATCAATTGAACTTTGTAAGCATGAAGATGTAAATCTTTCGTGGCAATATGAATATACTTTATACAGCTTCTCAGAATGTCCAATTCTTGACCATGAATGTTGAATTTAGACAGGGTGTCCCGTAAAGTATGTTACAAACTTTGGGTGGTGATAGTACATAAAAAAATATGACTAAAAACTCTAATAAACATAACCTCTTAAACGCACCGTTTTGAAGTTATAGGCCTTAAAAGGTGCAACTACAAAAGTAGTTTTTGTGACGTAACTCTTTGTTGGAAAAAGAAAACATAATGAAATTTTCAGGGACTAGTCAGCTTTAGGAAGCCAATAAATAATGTGGATATTAATAAAATTGAGAAAGCGGAAGGGTGTTTTTTTATCACCCTGTATCCTATTTTTTGCCAAAAAAAATTTTTCTGCAAAGATACAGCAAATATCATAAGATTTTTAGAAAGACCATTGAATTTAGAAATTTTTTTGTCTCTTGCATTTTTTATGTAAAATGATTAGTTTTCTAATAAATTTACAAAATGCAAAGGGAGTTTACTCACCGCTAGGTGTTAAATTTGACGTATTCAAAAAGTAGGCGCCTGTCACTTTTAACATAGTTGACATTTGTTACCATATTTTAATCGTGTCTGTTGACGAATTATTAATTTGTGAGTACAATGGCGGATAACAATCGTTTTACTAATCAAGAATATGCCGAAATGCATTTTATTTATGGATTATGTAATGGAAATGCAACAGCTGCTCGAAGAACATACATAGAACGTTATCCGCAGAGACGTCAGCCGTCTACACAATTATTTACTCGGATTCACAGACGGATTATTGAAACTGGTAGTGTGGTACCCCGTTACATACATTGTGGTAGAATTGCTAGAAGACTACCCGCGCAAGATGAACAAATTTTGAGATCTTTTGAACAAAATCCGGGAGAAAGTGTGCGAAGGGCAGCTAATCAGTTACAGCTTTCCAGAATGTCAGTTTGGCGTGTTTTGAAGGAAAACGGCCTTTATGCCTACCATCTCCAAAAAGTGCAACATTTAATGCCTGAAGATCTTCCCCGACGCCTAGAATTCTGCCGAATAATACTTAACCATCACCAACATAATGTGGAATTTATTAGCTCCATTTTATTTACCGATGAAGCCACCTTTACACGAGATGGTTTACTGAACTTGCACAATGCACATGCATGGTCAGACGAAAATCCTCATGCTACCATTGATAGTCATCACCAACACCGATTCTCAGTCAACGTATGGGCTGGAATAATAGGTGACTATTTGCTCGGGCCTTTCTTTCTACCTCAAAGGCTTGATGCAGTAGAATATTTAAACTTCCTAGAAAACCATCTCCCTGAGTTAATGGAAAATGTTCCTTTAAATTTGAGACAATACATGTGGTACCTCCATGACGGGGCACCTGCGCATTTCAGTGTTCATGTTAGAGAGTATCTACATATGCGGTTTCCTAATCGATGGATTGGAAGAGGATATAATGCACCAATAGCCTGGCCACCGCGATCACCGGACTTGAATCCTGTCGATTTTTATCTTTGGGGACACGCGAAATCTCAAGTTTATGCAACCCCTGTTGATACAGAAGATCAACTTAGACTGCGAATTGTAGAAACCTTTAATTTAATAAGAAATAGTCTATTCATATTCCAAAGAGTCAGATTTAACTTTATAAAGAGACTGACAGCATGTATCGATGCAGAAGGAGGTCAATTTCAACATTTATTATAATAACATATTTTGTTTTAGTTCTGTTTTGGTTACTTAATTAAAAAAATTATTTTGGAAATTGATTGTATTCTTAAAAATTCACTAGGCTTAAGAAATGTATGTAAATAATTCGGAAGCACTCATCTCTCTGCATTTTGTAAATTTACTAGAAAACTAAACATTTTACATAAAAAACACAAGAGACAAAAAAATTTCTAAATTTAATGGTCTTTCTAAAAATCTTATGATACTTGCTGTACCTTTGCAGAAAAATTTTTTTTAGCAAAAAATAGGATACAGGGTGATAAAAAAACACCCTTCTGCTTTCTCGATTTTATTCATATCCGCATTATTTATTGATTTCCTAAAGCTGATTAGCCCCTGAAAATTTCATTAAGTTTTCTTTTTCCAACAAAGAGTTACGTCATAAAAACTACTTTTATAGTTGCACCTTTGAAGGTCTGTAACTTCAAAATGGTGCGTTTAAGAGGTTAGGTTATGTTTATTAGAGTTTTTAGTCATATTTTTTTATGTACTATCACCACCCAAAGTTTGTAACATACTTTACGGGACACCCTGTATTTCTGAACTCTCAGCAATATTCTCACGAACTGCTTCAATGTTTTGTGTTGAACCAGAGACGGTTGGGTATTTAAGATCACTAATCCAGTCTTACTGAATATTTCATTTAATCTATTTTCAGTAGTTGATGAAGTTAAATTACTATTCCGACAATATTTGGTACGAAAATTGCGAACTGTAGTTGTTTTAAAAATAATGCTCAATAATTAATATCCGTTGTTCTGTCATTAAGCGCTTCGTATTGAATAACCTTGAACTGTCAACGTCAACTGTCACGCTGACTTTTATTTTTCATGTTGGCAACACTTTACTGCACAAGTGGTGTAAAATCCATATCTTGCACACCCGATATTACAAGGAATTACAGTTAGTTGTAAAGTGTCTCATATATTCACAGTTTTTTAAGCGTCTTTGGATGACAGGTTTGGGCTTTCAGTTTTCAACCTTGACGGACTGCTACTAACATTAAGTAGTCGTCTCGATTAAAGGAATTGGTGAACTGATCGGACGAATAGATTGCCATAACTTATATTGTACGTTACAAATATGAGTACGTAATTATACAGGGTGTCCCGAAATTCATGCAACAAAATTTGGTCATAGATCTTAAGACAAATTTAGGGGACCCGTATTTTTTTTTCTTTCTAAAAAACGTAGCACCATCAGATTCCACATGTCATAAAACCCCACCAAATTTAGTGATTCTCGTACAACAGGGTTCTGAGATATAAAAAAATATTATTCTTAGGGGCGGACTTCAGGGGGCTGTAACTCCGAAAGAGGGGGCCACTTGGCAAAAATAAAATATACGGGTCCCCTAAATTTGTCTTAAGAATCTGTGACCAAATTTTGTTGCATGAATTTCGGGACACCCTGAAGGTAACAATTTAACTATCCGTTTATTTAATTATTTGTGACTTAATATTGTTGTTATTGTTATAAGAAGAAGTTTTTTTGTTTTTATAATTTTTTAAATTTTATTTACAATTTTATTTACAAGGGATAAGACTAGAACGCAGCAGGAAGTTTGCGATTTATTTAATGAAAAACATCCAAATCGCCGTATCAGCCAATCAACAGTGAGTAAGATAGAATCTAAATTTAAAGAAACTGGCAATGTTGTAGATATTCTAAAACCTGGACGTCCAAGCGTTAGTGAAGATCACAAACAGAACATTTTGATGAAGACGATCCCGACCGCCGCTTACACTTTTGTGTAAATAGAGATTTACACCGGCAAATACTTTTGCAAATACTTTTTTCAGACGAGGCCACGTTTTGTCTCAATGGTACAGTGAACCGTCAAACTTGCAGGTATTGGAGTCGGGAAAATCCTCATTGGATGGCAGAGACACATATCCAACTCCAACAGAAATTAAATGTGTGGGCTGGAATAGTTGACAACAGAATAGTAGGGCCTTTCTTCTTTGAAGGAACCCTTACAGGAGAAAGATATTAAGAGTTTTTACAAAATGACCTTGTTCCAGCGCTTGCAGTAATTTTTCCTAACAATAATGACCCTGATATTACTGATGACACCATATGGTTTCAGCAAGACGGTGCACCTCCGCACTATGGATCGGCAGACGAGGATCGATGGAATGACCCGCGAGATCCCCAGATCTTACACCCCTGGATTATTTCTTATGGGGCTATTTAAACTCCAAAGTGTACGTTAATAGACCACATAATTTAGAAGAACTCCAAAATTGTATTATAGATGAAATACACAGTTACCCCAGAAATAATTCATAATGTGCATGAAAAATTTCTACACAGTCTTGCGTATTGTCAAGAAGTCGGTCGGTGGCA